CAGTATAATTCTTTATGCGAAAAACGTTCAACTCGGTAACAGTTCTTATGCATTCGAAGTAGAGCTGAATGTTTGCTGCTACTGGAACACAACCGAAACCAAGTAAATGAAAGAGTTTGTGAATTTACGCGAAAATGTCACGAACAACCGGATCACGCCATATCATACGTGCAGTTCAGTACGAAACCCGCGTAAGGATGCTGCCGGTATTTGTGGTACTGCACCTGAAAAAAAGCTCACTGAATCAAAGCTAACAGCAAAACGGCCAACCGCAAATTTGCACTGCAGACAAAATGTGCAACATCAGGTTTGGGCGGCATATGTAAGCTGCACTCTTCTAGGTGGACATGTACTCTTCCTAAACTTCGCTTTCACTTCCTCCTTCGTACACACTTTTCAGCTCTTCATTCATTGTCGACATAATTATTTAGTTCTTAGAATTCAAATCTCAGGTACTGTGCAGCGGTTCTTCTACGTTGGTACTGAAAGCCATGATTCCGTTTCAACCATGATTGTGCATGAGGTGTGATCAGTGACAGATTTCGTTTTTAGCACTCCCTATCCTTTATTCACCTGCGACTTCGCTGCCCACCGCAATGAGCTGCACTTCTGCGGCGACGGAGACGGTAGTGAGTTGGTAATTACCCTGAAAGAAGTAATTAGGAACGCCCTTCTTATTTGTTGTTTGTCCGTCTGCACGGAGGTTCGATGTCACCTGAATAGCCTTTTAGAGAGTCCGGGTTGCGGACCCTCAGTAAGAACATATGCCCATGTGAACGCGCAAACGTCGGAACCTCATAACGGGTCCAGAATGACTAAGAGAACGAAGAAATACAGCAAAGTAAGCAAGAGTGAGAATTGTGATGAAACATCCACAGCAGGCGGAGCATGCACCATGGTGACCGGGGATAAATTTTAAAATTGGAAGTCGTCTCCAGAGCACTCCTAGGGTCGGAAAAAAATCATATTTAATTCCAAGCCCTGGCTTCGGCGGGCAGGCGCTGCTCGGCCGCGCATTCCTTCTTTCGTTGTGTTGGGATACACTGCTAATGTCCGATATTTCTCTCATTTTGCCATAGATCATTTTGATCGCGGGTTGTCGGCGTGTCAGGCAGAGAGAAGGTTTGAACAGACAAAATTTTTCCTGCTTAGGGTTGCAATGAACCGTAGCTTGCGCGGCTTGCTCGTTCCAAAAAAAAAAGGTCCCTCTAAAAAAAGAGTCACCGGGTTCAGCTTCAACGGTAGGATTTCCAAAATCGCACTCGTGAATAGAAGACAGTCCCGTAACAAATAATAAATAAACGATAACCATAGTCGGCATAACAAATTTTGGCCTTCAGGCAATTCATTCCTTTACCGTGAGTCCCGATGGTTCAACTGGTATCTGGAGCCAATCGTGGTGTAGTTACCAAGATTGACCTTGAGGAATGTATGGCCTCGTCCGCAGAAGTTCCTCAAACTCATTTGTCAAAGCCGGAGTTGAACACATCGTCTCGATCGTCCCATTCGGGTCGTCAAGTTTTCGTACGAGTTGAGCTTCATGACCAACTGCGCGGTGACGAAGACGTCCACATCGCCAACGCCTTTGCTGGGAACAATACCTCACCGGCTGCGTAAACGGTGTATAGCAAGCGATGTCATCTCGTCTTGGTCATCCCGATGATGCCGACGTTGTACATCGTGAAAGCTGCACGATGACAATCAAGGGCTTAGTGTTTTTTGAGCTATGGGGTTCCATTGTACAGCATTAGGGACGGAAGGGTACGTTGCTTGCTCCTTCTCGAGGGCTTCCGCTCAAGAAGGATTCGCCCACTGTTATGTGAATAGCACTCATCCTACTCCTCACTTGCCGGGCTAACAGTCACTTCAGCTTCCGTACCTTTCGATAAAATATTCCCAAATAATCTCAATCGTTACGGGAGAGTTGTTTTTGTCGAGTTCTACAACTTGTACGCAGTGACACTAGTTTCATTCCAGATTCTGAGATTCGGCTGCGCACGAACAGGTACATTCTCACTTATTCCTAGGTAATTTACGATCAATCAGAATCGAAGTAAACTCTTCGTCGGCTATTCTTGGGCCAACTGTATTGGGCATCAAACACTCTCTTATCGAGAAGAAATCGCTCCCTGCAATGGTAATAACTGGAAATGAGCAAAATGACAAAATAACGTGGGCAAGGAAGTGTTCTGTGAGTAGAATGATCCTGAAATAGCTGTATAAGTCACAAGGAATGCTGAACCCTTTCATTCCTAGCAAGAAAAATCCCTTGTATTAGGTTGTCCGGAAAGTTCTTAGCGTTTTGTGCACCTATTTTTTGTACATTCACTGCTGATTAAAAACTCATTCTGCCTTGCTTCTCAGTAGCACATCCTGTAGAGAATTTCTTGCGCTATCTGATGGTATAATTGCCGTTTCACCATTGCTTGATAAACCCTCTTTTTTTCCAAGATT